GGTCCCTGTGCTTTGCTAAGCTTGTTCTAAGTAGGTGCTTTAGACCACTGAGCCATCTCACCAGCCCCTCTAGCTTCATTCTTTTGTGTGTGACTATCTAGTTGCTCCAGCACTATTCACCAAACTGACTCTTCTTTCTAGGTGGGACAGTGTGTGCCTGTAATCCCAGCTCCGAGGGAGGCTGAGGCAGGAGGGCTGCTTAAACTCAGGAGTTTGAGGACAGCCTAGGCAACATAGCAAGACCCTGTCTGAAAAAAACAACACAGGAGTGCTCACTTTGGCAGCACATACACTAAAATTGGAACGATTCAGAGAAGATTAGTATGGCCCCTGCGCAAGGATGACATGCAAATTTGTGAAGCGTTCTGTATTTTTGGGTTGTGCTAGATACAAAACTAGAAGATAGTATAATAAATGAGAAGGATGAAAGGCTTCCTTGAAAATAAAAAACCAAAGTTCTCAGGAAGGCTAATTCTTCTCCACTGACTTTATGGTTCCCTTGCTGAAAATCACTTAACCATAACTGCAGGTGTTTTTCTCCCTCAGTTCTGTTCCACTTATCCACACAACTCCCCTAATGGCAGCACCACCATCTGTGCCCACTCGAGGACAGTGACTTCATAGTCCATTTTGCGATCGGGAGGCATGAATGAACCTTCTAATGTTGTTCTTCCCCGAGGGTGTTTTGGCCATTTGAGACCCCTTTGAATTTTAGGATTAGATATTGATTGCTACCAAAAGGCACCTGAGATTTTGCCAGGGGTTTGGTGACAGTGCAGCCCCCTCCTAGGCATTCTGCCCTCCTTACTGTGTTGGCTGAAACCGGACCAACCTTGCCAGGGCCCTGAGGATGTGGAGGACGCGGTGACCTGCTGTGAGCTGCGCAGACAGAAGCCCAGGGGCCATCTCTTCCTGCTTGAAGGCATTGCCTGGTGTGGCGTAGTATCTAAGCTGGGGCTGGGGACCTTGGATGAGCCACACAAGCCCTGAACCCGGAGATATCTGAAGCCTAAGGGTCGCACCACTCTGCCTCTGAGCCTGTGGAGGGCGTAAGACCGGGCACCCACAGGCCTGCGGGCATCTGTGATAGTGGGGCGCTGGCTTGGGGCCTGCCTGAAGGTGCTGTCGCACTGAGTGAGGAGGCAGGATCTCATCTGAGGAAAGGACTGTGGCTGAAGGCCCATCAATTCACTGGCTCATACTTTGAAGAAAGGAGAAGAATAAAAACAGAATCAGGCCCCATCTTCAAAGTCTGGTTGCACTCCTGCATGCACTTATGTGTTCCAGATGTAGTGCTCTGGCTCACACGGGAGATTTCACTCTCAAGGAAGAAGAAATAGAAAGTGAAGGGGTTACACTTGGCTCCTTGGGAGCTTTGTTTTCCAAACTTAAGGAGCAACCTTGGAAGCTACAGTTGAAACTTCAGATCCATGTGTACCTCGGCTGGAGTGAGGTACTAGGTGCTTACTCCATGATTGGTGCTAGTGTGGGGTGTTGGAATCGTGTATCATTACCCTCCCCCAAGAAAAGACTTCTTTTTGGTGGCAGTAAGATTGAGTCCATGGCCTTACCTCTGAGCCACATCCCCAGTCCTTTTTATTTTTTTATTTGTGTGTGTGTGTGTGTGTGTGTGTGTGTGTGTGTGTGTGGCCAGCTCAGCCCACCAGGGGGCGGGGCTGGCTGGCATGTGGTGCTGGGGGATTGAACCGCGGTCCTGTGCTTTGCTAAGCTTGTTCTAAGTAGGTGCTTTAGACCACTGAGCCATCTCACCAGCCCCCTTTTTATTTTTTTGAGAGGATCTCACTAAATTGCCCAGGCTGGGTTCAAACTTGTGATCGTCTTGCCTCAGCCTCCCAGAATGCTGGTGCTACCGGCCTGCACTGCCAAACCAGGCTGTTTTTGTTTGTTTGGAGAGGGGAAATAGTTATATACAATAGAAATTATTTTGAGATTTTCAAAGCCTGAGATCCTTTGGCTTATTCGATTCCTTTTACTTACACTGTTAGGCAGTTCATGGGGATTTTACTTCCATCCTTTAGTGAGGTCTGTGTGTAGGTGGGAAGTTAGGGGAAAAACACTGTGATAGAACCAGCCCCCAACAAGGAACTGACTGCACACAGAGCAGAGTGCCTGCCTCTGCTGGTGTCACAAGCCAAGCTGACCTGCAGTAACCCTCTGTGACGCA